CGACTCCTGCCAGTGGCGCCTCAGGCCGAGCTCACAGTGGGGCCACAAAACGCGCGAGGGGTGCGCCGGCATGGGCACGGTCACGCGAGCGATTCCTGCAACCGAGGCCGTGGGCCGAGCTCCCAGTGGGGCCACGAAACGCGCGAGGGGTGCGCCGATATTGGAGCGGTCACGCCTGCGATTCCTGCAACGGGGTCTGCGGTGGACCTCCCTGTGTGGTCACGAAACATGTGAGTGGTGTGCCGACATGGTACGGAGAAGGCGTGCAAGGCAGCCACTGGGGCCTTAGGCGGAGTTCCCTGTGGGGTCACGAAACGTGTGAGGGGCGTGTCGAGATGGGCACGGTCACGCATGCGATTCCGTCAATGCTGCCTTAGATGGAGATCCCAGTGGGGCCACGCGCGAGATTTGTGCCGAAATAGGGGAGGTCACGCATATGATTACTGCCAAAGGAGTCTTCAGTGAATCTCCCTACTGTACCACGAAACGTTTAATGGGTGCGCCGACATGGACTAAACAAGACATGCGAACGAAGCCACTGGGGCCTTAGGTGGAGTTCCCTGTGGGACTGCAGAACGTGTGAGGGGTGTGCAGAAAGTGTGGTGGGAAGCGCATACAGGCGCAGCCACTGGAGCCTCAGGTGAACCTCCACCTAGGGCCACGAAACGTTGAAGGGGTGCGCCAACATGTTTGGTGGAATGCGGGCGCAGCTACTGGGGCCTTAGGTGGAACTCCCACTGGGGCCTCAAAACGTGTGAGGGGTGCGCGAAAGGGGGGTGGCGGTGGCATGCGGGCGCAACTACTGTGGCCTCAGGTGGAGCCCCCTGTGGGACAACGAAATGTTTAACAGGTGCGCCAAAGTAGGGCGGCAGCGGCATACGGGCGCAACCTCTGGGGAGTTGGGTGGGGTCCCCGATGGGGACGCGAAACGTGTGACGGGGCGCCGAAATGGGGGGCGGTGGCATGCGGGCGCAACCGCTGGGGCTTTAGGTGGAGCTCCATTTGTGACCACGAAACGTTTGCGGGGTGCGCCAGTGGGCTGGCGGCGGCACGCGGGCGCAACCACTGGGGCCTTAGGTGGAGCCTCCTCCTTGGGCCACGAAACGTGCGAGGGATGGCATAAAGAGAACAGAAAAAAAGACGAAGATGGGGATGATGGTGATGATGATGATGACGATGATGATGCTCATGATGAGGAGGAGCATGATGAGGAAGATGACGGAAATGATGATGGTGATGATGATGATGATGATGATGATGGTGATGATGACGATGATGATGATGACGACGCTGATTATGGTGATGATGGTGTTGATGATGGTGTTGATGATGATGATGAAGATGACGGTGATGATGATGATGCTGATGCTGATGCTGATGCTGATGATGATGATGGTGGTGATGATGATGATGATGATGGTGATGGTGATGGTGATGGTGATCGTGGTGGTGATGGTGATGGTGATGGTGCCGATGGTGATGGTGATGATGTGAAGATGACGGTGGTGCTGCTGATGATTATGGCGATGGTGATGATGGTGATGATGGTGATGATGGTGATGATGGTGATGGTGATGATGGTGATGATGGTGGTGATGGTGCTGATGGTGATGATGGTGATGGTGATGATGGTGATGATGGTTATGGTGGTGACAAAGACGCCCACGACGACCACGACGATGATCATGGTGATGACGATGATGGCGATGATGATGACAATGATGATAATGATGATAATGATGATAATGATGATAATGATGATAATGATGATAATGATGATAATGATGATAATGATGATAATGATGATGATGATGATACTGATGGTGATGATGATGATGATGATGGCGGTGGTGAGGATGCTGATGGTGATGTTGATGATGGTAATGATGATGGTGATGGCGATGGTGATGTTGATGGTGGTGAATGTGATGATGATGGTGGTGATGATGGTGATGATGATAGTGGTGATGTTGATGCGGGTGATGATGATGATGATGATGGTGGTGATGATGATGATTATGCTGGTG